TCTTGTCTAGTGTTTTCATTTGTGTGTCAGCTCCTTCTTCATATCCTGAACCCTAGCTGTGAAGGTCACAGTACTGGAGGTCCTAGCAACAGCTATTAGCAAGAAGAAAACATAAAAAGCAGGCAAATTGGAAGGAGGTAGTAAAACTGTCATTATGTGCAGATGCTATGATATAGTACATAGAAAACCTCTAGGACTCCACCAAAAAACTGCTAGATTTAATCATGGATTTTGCAAACGTTGCTGGATACAAAATTAACACCCATAAATCACTAGCATTCTTATACACCAATAATAAACTCTCAAAGAGAGAAACTAAAAAAAAAATTAATGCCATTTGTCACTGCAACAAAAAAAAATTTCAGAAACTTAGGAATACATTTAACCAAGGAGGTAAAAGACCTATACTCAGAAAACTATAGAACATTGAAAAAAGAGATGGAAGTGGACATAAACAACTGTAAGAACATACTATGTTCATGGATTGGAATTATTAACATCATGAAAATGTCCATACTACCCAAAGCAATAGATAGATTCAATGCAATCCCTATTAAAATACCAATGGCATACTACACAGGTGTAGAACAGACTTTCCAAACATTTATATGGAACCAAAAAAAGAGCCTGGATAACTACAGCAATCTTGAGAAAGAAGAACAGAGTTGGATGCATCACAAGACTAGATATCAAGCTATACCACAAAGCCACTGTGATCAAAACAGCTTGTTAGTGGCACAAGGACAGACATATAGTTCAATGGAACAGAATAGAGAACCCAAGCATCAACCCAAGCCATTATGTTCAATTAATCTTTGAGAAAGGAGATAAGAACAACAATGCAGTTAAAAAAGTCTCTTCAATAAATGGTGTTGAGATCACTGGAAAGCTATATGCAAAAAAAATAAATAAAATAAAATGCAACTAGACCACCAACATACACCATACACAAAAATAAAATCAAGATGGATAAAAGACTTAAATGTAACACGTAAAACCATAAAAATCTTACAAGAAACCATAGGCAGCAAAATCTTAGATATCTCTCATAGCAATATGTTTACCGATACATCTCCTAGGAAAATGGAAATGAAGGAGAAAATAAATAAATGGGACTACATCAAAATAAAAAGCTTCTGCACAGCAAAAGAAACCATCAACAAAACAACAATATGCATGAGAGAACATATTTGCCAACTATATATCCAACTAGAGGCCTGGTGCATGAAAATTCGTGCACTGGGGGGGGGGGTCCCTCAGCCCGGCCTGTGCCCTCTCACAGCCCGGGACCCATTAGGGCATGTCCCACTGCCAGTTTAGGCCTGATCCCTGGGGAATCAGGTCTAAGCTGGCAGTCAGACATCCTCTGGCAGCCTGGGAGCCCTTGGGGGATGTCCACCTGCCGGCTTAGGCCCGCTCCCTGGGGGGTCAGGTCTAAGCTAGCAGTCAGACATCCCTCTGGCAGCCCAGGAGCCCTGGGGGATGTCCGACTAATGGCTGTTAGTCGGACATCCATAGTGCTGCTGCAGAGGCAGGAAAGTCTCCCACCACTGCCACTGAGCTGGCCAGCCATTAGCCAGCTTCTGGCTGAGTGGCGCCCCGCCCTGTGGAAGCGCACTGACCACCAGGGATCAGCTCCTGTGTTGAGTGTCTTCCTTCTGGTGGTCAGTGTGCATCACAGGGACTGATCATTCCTAGTTGTTCCTCCCTTAGGGTCAATTTGCATATTGCCCTTTTATTATATAGGATAAGGATATAATCTCCAAAATTTATAGGGAACTAACACAATTTAACAAAAGGAAGATAATCCAATTAAAAACTGGGAAAAGAACCTAAAAAAGACACTTCTCCAAACTGGACATACACAAGGCCAAATGGCATATGCGAAAATGCTCAAAGTCAATACTCACCCAAGAGATGCAAATCAAAATGACAATGAGGTACCATCTCACACCTGTCAGAATGGCTATCATCAACAAATAAACAAACGACAAGTGTTGGCAAGTATGTAGAGAAAAGGGAACACTAGTACACTGCTGGTGGAAATGCAGATTGGTGCAGCCTCTGTGGAGAACAGTATGGAGTTTCCTCAAAAAATTAAAAATGGAACTCCCATTGACCCAGTGACCCCACCTCAAGGCATATATCCTAAGAAATCAGAAACACTGATCAGAAAGAACATATGCACCCCTATGTTGATAGCAGCATGATTTATAATAGCTAAGATTTGGAAACAGCTTAAGTGCCCATCAGCAGATGAGTGGATTTAAAAACTGTGGTACATGTACATCATGGAATACCATGCAGCAGTAAAAAAGAAGAATCTCTTACCCTTTGTTTGAGACAGCATGGAGGGTCCTGGAGAGCATCATGCTAAGCGAAATAAGCCAGTCAGAGAGAGATAAATATCACATGCTCTCTCTCATATGTGGAATCTAGTGAACAAAATAAACCAGTGATGGCAAACCTTTTGAGCTCGGCATGTCAGCATTTTGAAAAACCCTAACTTAACTCTTGTGCCGTGTCACATATAGAAATTTTTTGATATTTGCAACCATAGTAAAACAAAGACTTATATTTTTGATATTTATTTTATGTATTTAAATGCCATTTAACAAAGAAAAATCAACCAAAAAAAATGAGTTTGCGTGTCACCTCTGACACACGTGTCATAGGTTCACCATCACTGAAATAAACTGATGAACAAAATAGATCCAGAGACATAAAACCATAGAATAGATTGTCAAACCTCAGGGGGAAGGGAGGGGAGCATGGGGGCCTGGGAAGAGATCAACCAATGAACTTGTATGCATATATGCATAACACGTCGACAGACAATAGGGTCGTGAAAGCCTGGCGTGGGAGCAGAAGCGGACTGGGAGATGTCAATGGGGTAAAGGGGAATATATGTAATACTTTGAACAATAAAGATTCTTTTTTAAGTTATATAAAAAGATCTTACTATTTCCTTACTTTTTAATATAGAGACTGGCTTTAAGCATCTAATCTTTTTTAAAAAAATTAATTAGTTCAACTATTCCCACCAAAATTTTGATAACCTTAATGAAATATTAATTATGCTTAGAGCAACCCAGTAAAACCTGGAAAATATTAAAACCAATCTTAAGGACACTTTTGACTATCATCCTTGTGAATATTTTCTACTCACCTCCTTCCACTGTATTATCAACTCTAAATATGTTAAATTTTTTGAAAGGTTATGCTTGAAAAGCCTCAAGAATAAACATCACGGAAGTGTTCAAATTTTTAAAATTCTTCCTTGCTAATGTGCTATTAGAATTCACCACTGTAACTGCAGAGGAAGGAGAGAAAATGCTGACATCACGGACACATTTTAACTCAAAAAGGCAATAGTGCATCAGACAGTCCTACAGGGAAAGCAAGATGTGGATCACAAACAATAAAATTTTATTTTCTAGAAATCGGTTGTCTAATTTCTTTAAAAACAATTTCCAGACATGATAGCTAATGGCATGCATTATAGGTAGAATCAGTCACTTATTCAATACTAATGGCCCAATGCACAAATTTGTGTACATCAAAAGGAAATTAATTAGAAGAAAGATTCGTGCAGTAGTTATGTTACTGCAAAAATTACATGTCATAGTCTATATATATATATATATATAAGGCTAAGTGACTGACTGTATGTCAGCCAGAGCTTTATATGTATCATGCATGCATGAGTCAAGGTTTATTTTTAAATGACCAGTGTGTGTCATATGTACCAGCCGGTTGGTCGGCTGGTCGGATGAATGGATGGTTGGTTATTTAGCCTTTTATATATATAGATAAGCCATTGGAACCACCAATTACAAAAAGCACCTGCTAGTAAGATGGTCCTGGAAAGTAATACGGAACAGCACCCTTTGTACTTAGCTTCTGTACCACCAGAAATCTCCTTTTCACGACTTCATTCTGGCAGTTTTTTGGCCAGTTACATAACAACTTTCAAAGGCTAAAGACCACACAATATATGATTTTTATAATAAGAATAGTTGTTATTGAATTTCTTTTAAAGAGAAATCTTTGACCTGGCTGGGTCAGATGGTTGGAGTGTCTTCCCATTAACTAAAGGGTTGTGGGTTTGGTTCCCAATCAGGGCACATGTGCAGGTTTTGGGTTTGATCCCATGTCTTGGGAACTGTCTGGGAGGCAACCAATGGATGTTTCTCTCTCACATCTATGTTTCTCCTCTCTCCCTTCTTCTCTAAAATCAACTTAAAAAGTAGAGAAATCTTCAATGTCTGAAAAACTATAATGAAAACTCAGAACTAAAATTATTTTAAAATAATTCATATACAGCAACAATGTCCAAAAAGTTGAGAAGGAATGCAAAGAACACATAATGGGGGGGGGGGGGGAGAGAAAGGAGGAGGGGGAAGGAAGTGCCTATTTTGCTCTAAGAAGCAATGGAAAATATTTAAGAAATTTCCTTATGTCTAAGAAGTCCATTTTCCCCAATATCAAAGTAAACATTAAAGCATTTGAAACTATAGTGTATAGAAATAGATACTTAAATTTTCTAAATGAGAGTTCTAAAGCTCAAAAGAGATTGTCAATTGTGAGGTTAACTAGAACTTTTTAAAAGTTTAAGAGAGACATTTCCTTTTTATCCAAAAATGAAAACAAAATTAAACAAATGTAATATCCTCTAGTAATAAAAATAATCAAAAGGAAAATGAAAAATACTAAGGATCATAAATGAAGCATAGGCTAAAAAAGATCCTCATCAGGTTAAAACCTTTCACTTATTTTTAAGAGGAAATACTAAACTTGCCAGAATAGGGAATATTATATTTCAACAGTCCTTGTTTTGTTTTGGTAGGTGAGATACTCATTATGTCAATACCCCCCCACCCCCGCCACCCCCGTCTCCCTTAAAAGGAAAGAACTTATCTGGGATTGGAGCAGGAGCAGTGATTCTTCTCCAGTCCTTGCAGATGAGGGGCTCATCATGTCACAGCCCTCATTCCTCCTTAAGATAAGATGGCATGGGCATGCTGCACATCAGTAAGGTTAGCACAGCTGCCAGATTTTTTTATGGCCACCCTGCACAGGTTTTTGTTTTCACAATATCTGGAAATGGCCTAGGGGGAGACATGAGACAGAGCACAGGTACACTCAAAATAAAGGAGTTGCGGCCTTCACAGAGAAAGCATCACTGATAGCCACACATTCCCACTTCTTTATATGGATTACAGTTTTTCCTCTTCAGAGAGCTGGCGTATACACTGCTTGGTCCTTGGGATCCTACTTCATGCTCATTCACTAAGGTAAGTCACTTAGGGACTGTGATTAGATTACCAGAGCAAAGGGGAACTTAGAATTTACAATTTGGATTTTCTCAATGATATCAAAGGTGTGACAAGGTCCTAACAACAATATCATCTGTTGCCTGTACACTTGGTTCCATAAACATAATAAACTTACACGTGGACAAAGCCATTGTTGACTCAGCTATTTAAATTCTAGCCAATCTTCATTAGTTAGCAATTGTTCTAGGCAAATTTTAATGAGGCAGGCATGGGTTGTACTTGATTGAAAGGTAGGAAAGTGCTAATGATTGAAGCACTATAAAGGTACTATTTCAGTTGCACATTAATTAAGGTAGAAACACGTCTTATTCTAAAGGACCATCAAAGTACCACAGAAAGTGTCCAATTTAAAAGTGTCCATTTCTGTTGAGAATAATTTTGTTGTATATTCGCCATAAGCCAAAATTACTTTGTTCAATGTACTTTACCATCTCCATTAAAAACCTATATACTTTCTACAGCAAGTGTTTGAAGCACATATTCTACAATCTTAGTATAAGTCTCTCAGGCTAGATTTGTTAACAAACTAAAGGTACTAAACTGTGATATATACAGAAAAGACATAAATTTGCAAACTGAGTTAACAACGGTAAGTAGAATATGGTTGTAGAAGTGATTAGTTATACAATTGTAAGAAATTATTCATATATAGCTAGAAACAAGAACAGAGTTTCCAAAAAAACCATCCAAGATTAAATTGGATATAAATTATTCTGAATCATAGTCACAGAGATCATTTTTGTATAATGTGGGATTCTTAAATAAACCAGAAGAGATACCACTAATATGATGTGAAAGAGTTCATAAGTCTTCTTCAATGTGCTAGTTTAAGAAGCTTTTCATTTTCCTAGTTACTACATAATAAGATTTATCCACAGATACTGGTTTTGGTGTCTGGCACAAACCCCACTTTGGATTCCCACAGCCTTACCTCTAGGTTCAGTGCTCTTTCTTTTCCAAGAGGAGCAAATGCAATAGGCAATCCGTGGTCACTTGCTAAGGACCGAAGGTCAAAATAGTATTTGGCATAGACACTGAGAGAAACATTAAGACTAAACTGTAGTAGATAAAAGTACTGTCTTTCCAGTTCACTTCTGGGCAAGAAGGAAAACACAAAATTAATACAGGGCAATTTTAGTCAACCTGACTATCTTCAAAATTATCATTCTAAACTACTAGGTTGACTCTGCATTTTGTTTTGAAACAAATAAAGGCTACCCAGCTGGACTAGTACACTAATGTTCAAACAAACACAGACAAGGTACAGCTATTTGTCATCCCTCTTGCATCCAGCTCTTTGAATTTTGGACAAGGGGAGGAGGTTACGTCTCTTGTGCTCAAGTGCTGCTGACTATAGAGGCTTATTCATCAGAGTCCCATTAGTGCAGCTGTAGGTTCATGCTCCTTGCTCACTCACAGGGCCCCACTCTAGTGCTCAGATGGAAGGAATGATGTACTGTTCCTTAGCCCCGAAGAATTTGCAGACATTTTCACCAGGCCCATAACAGGAAGGGGATTAGTAAAGTAGAGATGTGCCAACAAAAGGATTGGGCACATCATCACAGTAACAAAACAATCCATTGAGAGCCACCACTAATATCTCTGAGGGAAAAACTCTTGGAAAATTATGAATACCTAACAAGGAAATGGAGGAAAATACAAAAAATGGAAGCATATACCATGCCCATGGATAGGAAAAATTAACATCTTTAAAATGTCATACCACCTAAAATAAAATTCCTATTAAGATATCAATGGCAGCTTTTACAGAAGTAGAACAAATGATCCAAATTTTTATATGGAATCACCAAAGGCCCTAAATAGTCAGAGCAATCCAGAGAAAGACAAAGTTGGAGGTATCATACTACTTGCTATCAAACTATAAGCAAAGTTATAGCAATCAAAATACCAAGGTACTGGCATAAAAATAAACATATAGACCAATGGAATAGAATAGAAAGCCTATAGATAAATTAACTATGTGGTCAATTAATATTTGAAAAAGGAGGACAGATCATTCAATAAGTAAAGACAGTCTATTCAATAAATGGTATAGGGCCCTAACCAGTTTGGCTCAGTGGATAGAGTGTTGGCCTGCGGACTCAAGGGTCTCAGGTTCAATTCTGGTCAACGACATGTACCTTGGTTGTGGGCATATACCTAGTAGAGAGTGTGCAGGAGGCAGCTGATCGATGTTTCTTTCTCATCAATGTTTCTAACTCTCTAACCCTCTCCCTTCCTCTCTGTAAAAAACCAGTAAAATATATATAAAAAAATAAATGGTGTAGAGTAAAATGGACAGATACAAACAAAAAATGAAACTAGACCACCTTCTTCCACCATATACACACATACACTCAAAATGGATTATCAACTTAAATTCAAACTATAAAACTCCTAGAAGTAAACATAGGCAGTAAAATCTAGGACACTTCTCTTAATAATATTTTTTTGTTGATACATCACCTGCAGTATGTGAAACAAAAGAAAAAATAAACAAACGGGACTGTATCAAACTAAAATATTTTAGCACAGCAAAGGAAAACATCAACAAAATAAAAAGACAACCTACTAATGGGAAAACATATTTGACAATAATATATCTCATAATAGTCAAAATTTATTTAAAAAGTATACAACTCAACACCAAAATACAAACCACCCAATCAAAATGTGGACAAAGGACCTGGACAGACACTTCTCCAAAGACTCCATACAGATGGCTGATAGACATATGAAAAGACGCTTAGTATATTTAGTCCTCAGAGAGATGCAAATTTAAACCACAATGAGATATACTCACACCTGTCAGAATGGCGATCATCAATAAAATTTTTAAAAAGCTCGTATTGACCAAAATATGGAGAAAAGGGAACCCTTGTCACTTTTGGTGGGAATGTAGATTGGTGCAGCCACTGTGGAAAACAGTATGGAGTTTTTTTCAAGTAATTAAAAAATGGAGCTGCCTTATGATTCAGAGATTCCACTTCTGGATATATATGCAAAGAAACCAAGACACTAATTCCAAAGAATATATGCACCCTATGTTCACTGCAGTATTATTTACAATCCCCATGCTATGGAAGCAACTCAAGTACCCAGACATAAAAAAGAGTGAAATCTTGCAATTTGTGAGAGCATGGATAGACCTAGAGGGTAGTATGTTAGGGAAATAAGTTAGTCAGAGAAATACAAATACCATATGGTTTCACTTATATATGGAATCCAAAGATCAATATAAATGAGCAAACAAAACAGAAGCAAACTCATAGATACAGGGAACATTTTGATGGTTATCAGAGAGGGAGGAGTTTGGGGGGCTGGGTGAAAAAAGGTGAGGAAATTGAGAAGTACAGATTGGCAGTTATAAAACACTCATGGAAATATAAAGTAAACCCTGGGAAATATAGTCATTAATACTGTAATAATGAGATATGATGTCAGGTCAGTACTAAAAATATTGTGGAAAACACCTTGCAAAGCATGATTTTCTAACCTGAGACTAATACAAAAATAATATTAAATGTAAAGTCTTATTGACAAGAATAATAAAAATAAGTAAATTTTATAAAGGAGGAAAAAAAAAGACCAGAACAGGTAGGCAGCCCTAAAAAATCCATAAAGATATTTAAAGTACGGTTGCTTGTGCATCTGAACTTGTACAATGTTTGCCAATAACCACCAGAGAAATACATTTCAAATTATCACACAGATTATTAGAATAATTACACCTGGAAACCTACTAATTAATGAGAAAGAATATGATATGTTATAGCAAATGTGAATAGAAAAATGTATGTAATTTTGTTGTTGTTGTATCCTCACCTGGGGATATTTTAATATTGATTTTTAGAGAGTGGAAAGGAGGGAAGGAGAGAGGGAAGGAGGGGGGGAGGGAGGGAGGGAGGGAGGGAGGGAGAGAGAGAGAGAGAGAGAGAAACATCAAGTATTTGCCTCCTATTCTCTCCCTATCATGCCCCTACTGGAATTGAGCCTACAACCCAGGTATGTGCCCTTAACTGGAATTGAACCTGGGACCATTCAGTCTGTGCTGACGCTATACCCACTGAGCCAAACAAGCTCAGGCAAAATATATGTAATTTTATGCATAGTTCAGTTCTCTGCACACTCTAAACTTTAAAAACATTTCTTAATCTGTAAACTTTATGGGGGCATATAAAGTAATAAAAAATGGTTAGAAAGTTCACCAAAACATTGCAAACTCACAAGTCCTTGACTGTAATGCCCTTGCAGATTTGACAGAATATTGAATTTGATATATCCAGATCGTGCCAATACTTGAAAGCCAGAACAATGGCGCCGAAAACAATTCGTTTCCAGTTAGTTGGGCAAATGTCGATTTCAGCATATGTTAAAAGTCTTTCTATGTAAACCTGCAAAAGTAAAACACCGGTCTTTGATTCTAGCTCAGTTTAAGTGCTGTGATAATAACTATTAAGAATGACAGGTTTCGTCAGTTTCGACATGCCTTTTATTTTTAGGTTCTGGCCATGAGACTAGTTGGCCAGCCAAAGCCAGAGGCCAAGTCACGGTTGCAAATCAGATACTTCTGTTGCCTATTTTCCCATGTGGAATTTCCAGCCCAGTTTTTGGTCACAGGGATGAATGGACAAGTTAGCAAAGGACTTCCTGAAGAAATGTTACTTTCCCACTTGCAAAGGGCAGCCCATCCAGGCCCAGTGCAGACACTTGAGTGCCCACCACGTGCACTGTTTCATACCTGGCTGGTAGTTAGTGGTGATTTTACATAATCCTGGAATATGTAAATCCCTGCCAATACTAAGCACATCTGTACCTTCTCTACCCAGTAACTAGTCCCTTTGTGCCCCAAGCTGAAGCTAAAACTTGGTTAAGACAGCCCCCCAGTGGCTCCTGTGCAGTGCCGCAGGACAGGTAGTGTAAACAGGCATGTTCGAATCAGGCCTTGACAACTGTCAAGTATACTTGAACTTAGTGCCCTTGTAAGAAACACACACGCAAACCAAGGATAGTCCTTTTATATCCCCTAAGCCTCACATCTCCATCACGATTCTGTGAAATCCATCTCTGTCTTACACAACCTGAAGCTTGGTCAGTTCTGTTGGTTTCAGGTGGTAGCAGAGCTGCCAGTCTCTGTCTCCCTGGTTCTCCTCTAAACCTGCCAGATTGACAGCTCACATTTGCCAAAGCTCTTCAAACCCAACTGTATTTTAAAAAACAAATGATTATTAAACATCATGTGTTCTTAGTGAAAGGTTGCACCAATCCTCAAAAGCTCCAAGTGCTCAGATATCGTATCCTACAAGGTTCAACTGTCTACTTGATGAAAATAGAGACAAATACAACATTGGAAATCACTTAACTTCCTGCGGTCCACTGTAGACTTGGTATGTACCATAAATCCTTCATTTATACCACTTGCCCTCCTGTGTCAGTGGAATTGAGATTTCTCTTCTCACTGAAACTCTTCTAGCAGTGAAGTTGATCCCATTCCACTTCTGAAGAACATCTCCCACAGTTATCTCTTTTTGAACACTTCCCTGTGGCCCAGAGACTCTCCCCAATATGAATGTATTTACGTGGTACCCATCCCACCCCCCACAACCCCTAGGATGCCTCCTCTCTGTTTGCTCACAGTGAATGACCTGAAACTGCTTCTCATCTCCCACTCTCTCCTTCACCCACTGTAGTCTGCCCCTGGCACTGTCACTCGACTGAAACTACTACTGCTAAGGTCATTGGTGCGTGTGCACATACAAACCAGAGCTCTTCACCCCAGCTCCCCACTCCCCACACGTTCTCTAATGTCATGTGGGGCAATGCCATTTGCCTAGGTGCTTGGCCAAAGACCTCCAATTGAGTTGACCTGCTGCAATCTGTTAGCAATTCTTGTTATCTCTGCCTGTCACTGGTAGTCAGACCTCTTTCTATTCTATTTGTCACTTCTCACCCATGTCACTATTGCCCCTGACTTCTCAGCCTCCACTCAGACTCCCAGATACAGTCATTCTTCCCAAAGCAGCCAGGATAGCCTTTTTTTTTTAAAAAAAATATATGTTATTGCTTTTTAAAAAATATATTTTATTGATTTTTCACAGAGAGGAAGGGAGAGGGATAGAGAGTTAGAAACATCAATGAGAGAGGAACATCGATCAGCTGCCTCCTGCACACCTCCTACTGGGGATGTGCCCACAACCAAGGTAATGCCTTTGACCAGAATCAAACCCGGGACCCATCAGTCCGCAGGCCGACACTCTATCCACTGAGCCAAACTGGTTATGGCTAGGATAGCCTTTCTAATCAAGAGCACTTCCCCACCCTGCTCAACTCTGCCAAAGGGTTTCCACCAAACAAATAAAAATGTCACTTTCTCCCATGGCCTGCAAGCTGCAAGGCCCAATCAGGTAGCACTTGCCCTTCTAGGTCCTCATGCCCTACATTCTCTCCCTCATTCCACACTCTGACCACACTGGCCATACCTCACTCTTACTCAAATACCAAGTATAAGTTCCCGTCTCAGAGGCTGGCACTTATTCCCTCTGCACATAACGCCAGAGCTCTCATCTTCCTCAGTTCAGTCAGACCAGGGTCAGATGTCATCTCTTACAGAGGCTCTTCCTGATCACCTCTCTAAACTAGCAAGCCCCTCTCAGCACTTTATCACGTCACCCTGCTGTACCTTCGTGATATTTACTACTACCTGAGATATTCACCTTTTAACAACACTCAGTTAAAGAAATATTTATCTCTTCCTCAGTAGGACAGAAGCGCCATAAAAGCAAACACTTTATTCAGCCATGTCTCTCCTCTATCTTCAGCACTTAGGTCTGTGAGGATTCAGCACTGAAGGGAGAAGTCACCAGGAGTAGCTTAGCGTGGTGGCAAAACCAGAGGAAAACAGAAAAAAGAAGGGAGATAAGGGAGGTTCCAGAAGGAGAGTGAGGTCGAAGTGCTCAATGCTGTCAAGAAGTTGCCATTCCATGAATAGCCACTGAATACCTGCTCTTGCCACTCTTCTATCTTCCATGCACTTTTTATCCATACGCTTTCTCAGCATTGGAATAGCTAATGCTAATTCCCTGCCTCCAGTCAGAGTCACGCTCTAATCCCATATATTCACACGCTCCCTAGAGATGCCCCTCTGTCCCACAGGCGCATCAGCATAATGTGTCTGCAAAGGTCCCACCCTCTTCTACCCCAGATGCTCTCCTTGCTGAGTTCCCTAGCTCTCCAGGTGGGAGCACCACTCCCGCCTTTGATCAGCTGTGCTCAGCACTCCAGATGGCTGGCAGCTCCGTGGAAAGGCCTGTGTCTAATCCAGTGCCCACCGAGGGGTCTCTATTCGGAAGCACAGGCTGCCTCTCCAAAATTCTGATTGAACACTGACGGAGGAGGCATTGCACTAAGTACTCTTCCCTCAGACCAAGCAGGAGACTTTCCCCTTTAGGATTGTCCGAGGGAGGAGTAATACAATCCCCATTCTTTCTCACGAGAATGGACCACTCATTCCAAATGACACACTCTTTCCACAGGAAGCCTGGATGAATGACACAGAGCCCCTTACACAGCTGTAGCTGAGCAGACAACCAGCAAAGCCCTTTCAGGTCCTACTGGCACTAGAATCCTGGAAACATCACAGGCAGGCACAAGAGGACAGCAAGGACGGATGAACACCCATCATTCAAGGAACAGAGAACTTAGGGCTCTAGTTCTCAGTCAGGACACACATTACAACTGCCTGGGGAATGCAGCCTGCGACTCAGCTTAGACCTACACTGAACCCGTCACTGCCTGGGGCCCAGAAGGTTCTGTTATTGCCCCCATCCTGCCCCAGCAGCACACCTTGTATGTATGCCTGTGTGCACTGCATGTGCCTATGTCTCCTGAGGCCTGGAGGGAGCAATTGGAAACCTCTCCCTCCTGCTGCCTTTGATAGCAATCGCTTTGTGGTAAGAAAAGCAAGAACATTTTTAATCATAGTGATTATTAAGCTCAAATGTGTGAACTTTACCACCTTTGATAGGTTTCCCTTAATAAAGTTCTGATAGAAGAACTATCTTACCAAAGTTGATATTGCATAACCAGCTGTTACTTCTATAGAGATAAAAAATGGGTGAATAAATCGGTAAATAGATTCAGGATCAGGATTTTGTGTAAAGTTTTCCTCCTGAACCGTGTTCTGCTGAAAAGAGAAAAAATGCAATGTAAGTATCCACTGAAGAAAAATGCTTAAGTACTTTTATGGCAGCAGTCTGCCACTTGTGCCCACGTGCCCCTTAAAATAATTTTGATTGGGTGACATGTCTCTTAGTCTTTTAAATATAAACAATGGGACCTTAAAAAACAATAGTGATTGAATACCAACACTCACTAAAGATAAATACAGGCACAACCTCTGAAACGTATATTCTTTTCCACCTTCCCCCTTCAGGATTCAGTCTAAATGCAAACTATTTTCAGGCTCAAAAGACTTGCTGGTCGCCATGTCATACTTCTCTGCAATCAACTCTAAAAATGTGCTTTCGGTTTCCTGTAACCATGGGCTCTAAGGCTGTGCTGTGCTGTGCAGGGTCACAGCCACACCGTGCTATGGAGCATGTCTGAGGAAGTGAGCTAAAAATGTTTCTGTAGTTCTAATTAATTTAGTTTTTTTATTTTATTCATAGAGATCTTTCACATATCTGTTTATTTATAAACATTCGTATTGCATGATGCTAAAAATTATGCACTTATCTTTTTTAAAGATACATTTTTTGTTTTTTGGGGTATGTTGACTCACTTTAGCTCACTAATTACTAGTATACGAAGCTGAAACTCAGGTCTTGCTGACATATTTCTTATACAACATTCCTTTTGTTAAATTATTAAATACAACATGGGTGGGGAAGGAAACTTACAGGAAGATAATGTTGACTCCAAGCTGGAGGGAGTAATTTTCTAATAGTGATTAATTTCAAAGCAAATCAGCATGGAATAAGCACAACTGTCTGAGAGAAAAAGACAACATCAATACAACTGGCACTTACTGTGAAAGGATGGATCCTCTCATCAAAAATGTCCTTGGATCTATTTGCATCTCTAGAAAATAAGGACATGATTTTAAAAACTAATCCAGGAATTGTTGTGTTAGCAACATATCTGCTGGGAGTAGAGAGGGGTGGAGGGAGCTTAACCTTCAACAAAGAAAGTCCTTCTACAAATTCTTCTCTTAGATCCTGTAGGAATTTTCTGACCTCTTTTTATTCAGCACATCAAATTCTGTGAAATCTTTTCTACAATGACCAGCCAGAGTTGCCTTTATAAACATTAACCCTTCCTTCCTAATAGGCAATGCTAGGCAACCAAATCGGTGGCTAGTCCTCTAAGCTCACATTGGCAGACACAGGAACATTTTATAAAGCAGTAGTGGTGGGCAAGCATCCATGTGAATATGAGATTCCTTTTTTTTTCACTGTTTGTTTTCTCTTATCACTTTCCTATATTATATTCTTATTCTGTATTTTTTCTGGTCTCTTTAAAATAGTCTGAGTTAAAATCTTGCCTTTTTATTTTAAAAGTGAACAGTATATTGATTGTAGAGAGAGGAAGATAAAGAGAGAAAAAAATCAATTGGCTGCCTCCTGCACATGCTGGACTGGTGATTGAACCAGAAACCTACGTACGTGGCCTGACAGAATTGAACCCACAACCTGGTACGTGCTGCCCTGACTTGGAATTGAACCTGCCACTTTGTCGTATACAGGACGATGCTCCAACCAACTGTGCCAGGGAAACCAGGCTGCTTCTTTTTTTTTTTAAGTTTAATTTTCCACACTAATACACTCTGCTCATTTACACAGTGGTTCTCCAAGTGTGTTTTGCAGGCTTCAGTGGTTCCACTAGACCAGTGGTCTGCAAACTGTGGCTCACGAGGCACATGCGGCTCTTTGGCCCCTTGAGTGTGGCTCTCCCACAAAATACCACGTGCGGGCGTGCACATACAGTGCTATTGAAACTTCGTGGCCCATGCACAGAAGTCGGTATTTTGTGGAAGAGCCACACTCAAGGGGCCAAAGAGCCGCGTGTGGCTCGCGAGCCGCAGTTTGCGGACCACTGCACTAGACCATTTTCAGGAGACCCATGAGACCAAAACTGTTTGTATAGAAATATTAAGGCACTGCCTGCATTTACACTGACATTTGCAATGATTGTGTAAAAGCAAAAGTCAGTAAAACTGGTCTCTGAGCAAGAATCAAGGCAAAGGTCCCACCCTGTGCTAGTAGTTATTCTATTCTCACTGCCACTTGTTGAAAACAAATCTACTTAAGCACATCTTTGATAAAGAATTAACAATGAATAATGCTATTAAAAATTGATCCTTCTTTTTATATTCTGAATAAGGGGAAGTATGCATACTGAAATGTGGATGTGTTAAGGAAAAGCACTTGGACTTTAACTTAGTTTGAGCTGAATGAGCTACTGTTTTCATAGAATAACATCTTTATTTGGTAGTACAAGTGTCAAAATCTCAAAACTGAAAAGTGAGCCTGTCACTTCAAGGAAAATAACTTATACATTTCTTGTCCATTGCACAATTCCAGCTATCAAACTGGAAATCAAGAATGGAGAAAACTTGTACCTTTTTTGTGAGCTTGACACGTTTTCAATACTTAATGGTTTTCCGGGAAGAGTGGTGGTTATGACGCTAACTAACAAAAGTGAGTTTTGATAAATGTGGACCAATACTTTCCAAATGAAGAATGCATAATATTACAAAATTACTTACAAGTAAAAAGATTCATTCAGCATACAAGATATATGAATGGGTACTAATTTAAAAGAGAGCTTATTACAAGTTCATGTAACTACTTTAAGAAACTTGCTCTTGTGGACTTTTAGTACAGTATCAAAAAATATACACAATTTTCTGAAGGCTTTAAAAATATGCCCATAAAGCTACATGAGGCTGAGTCTTCAATTGTTTATTCAAAACAAATTATTGAGATGACTGAAATAATCACAAAGGTGTGAAGACAGAGTGGACATGAGAATTAGCTGTCTTCTGTTAAACCAGACATAAAGAGATTTGCAAAATGAAAATAAATGACACAATTTCCACTTGGCCTATTTGTTATGGAAAATGATTCTCCTTTATAAAGAATTATGTTAATGCTATGGCTCCCAATCAGGGGCAATTTAGTCCCCCAGGAAGCATTCGATCATGGAGGAGACTTTTTGTTGTCACAATGGGGCCTGGGAAGATGGTGCTACTGGCATCTAGTGAGGAGAGGCCTGGGAAGCTGTAAACACCCTGTAACGCACAAGGCAATCCGCCACAGCAAAGCAGTATCCTGCTCATAATTTCAACAGTGCTATAAAAACCATGTTTCAACATACAGGGGGTTTATTTTTAAAGTCTCAATTTTAATTTCTAATACAGTAAATATCAATATAGCCCACATAAACAAATATTCTTTGGGATCCTCAATAAGACTCTTAAGACAAAAACAAGTGATTCACTTCAATCTATAATAATAAAAGCACAATATGCTAATTAGACCAGATGACAGAATGACCTTCTGGGGCTCCTGTGAGGACCCTAGCAAGCCAGGGTTGCGAGGGCTAAGCCCCTTGCACGAATTTCGTGCATCGGGCCCTTAATAATGTAATAAAAGCACCATAGCCTACTCCAACAATGTTTATAGTTAAAACCTAACACTAACTTTATATCTTTTAAGTTTATTAGCTAGAATAACAAGACAGGTTTTAAACTTACCTATTCTTTATGTGATAATATATTGCTAGTGCCAGGCTGTGGAGAAAAAAAAAAGTAACAATTGACTTTATGTCTTGGCTGAAGACATATTTTAAAAGGGTTGTGGTGGGGGAAGACCTTCCCAGCTGCCAGTGGCCATGAGATCCTCATTCAGGACAGTATCGCATGGGCACTCTTCACCTTGTTCTGTTTCTTTATCTTTTAGCAAAATTAGAAAACCAAAATGCTAGGGCATATTCAGTAAGATGACATGTTTCTGGTGATTATTATAATATATAAGATATTACACACTTCCCCTGTCATTTCTTTCTACCCATAGAACCTTTCATCCGTACAAGTTAGATCTATTTGTGCACATGCTTCAATTTAAGCCATATAGTAGTTTTCCACCTGCCCACCCATCGTCTGTCATTTCCATAAAGGTAAATAGAATGCTCTCTACCAAACAGAATCATTCAAGGTCACTTTTACATAATTGTTAGAAAATTTAATAGCAAATTGTAGAACCCACAAAATCAATAGTTCTAACAATTCTACAATTAGCGGTGCTAGCAATGCCGCAAGTAATACACAGTGTAATATTAGTAACATTTCCAAATTACTTTAAATATAATTTTAATGAGCAGATATAAGTCCTCAGATACCATGTAAGTTACTATATCCCTAAATTATTCCCAGATGCTGTGTAACATGAAACAAAGGAGTGCTGTAGATTAAGTTCCATGCTTTTCCTCTTTGCCCTCAGTGTCTAATATGAAGCTCCAAATGACTGAGGGGAGCAAATCTGAATTTTATAAATAGATTATATGCTGGAGGCTAATTCCAGCAGGGTCATAATAAATGCAAGAAGTCCTCAAAAGGTTGATGGGCTCTTTCTGCAAAACTAAAAATCTGCATGTTATTACCTGCTGCTGGAACAGCTAAAGGCAGTTTCCCCAGCCTGATAATCTACTGTTTACCAAACCTTACCTTTGATATGTATATATGCTTTGCTATAGGGCAAAGTATGTTAATAGGGGTCCAGAGACTCAGAGAACTCAGCTACTAAAGCTAAGCCTTCCCTGGCTCCCCCTAAAATGCCTCCCAAATTTATATTTCATGTCTAGTTTATTTAATTTTACTCGCAGCCTCTTCTCCAGATTCCTGAACTCTTCTAGATGCGTAAACACTCCGGCAGTTATAGAAAAATAGCACTTCTAAAAAGGCCTGTAGCCTTGTTAGCATCAAAGATGGGTACTTGTATAGTGCTTCAAACAGTTTCATCTTCAAATTGATTTTAAAATCACAGAATTTGAAGTTATAGAAGCTGAAAAGAGACAATGAACTTGTGGTGATATTTAATTCAACAATTCAATTTTACAGAGAAGGTAGCCAAGGCTTAAAACTGACTTCCTCAAGGTCCCACCAAGAGTGAGAAGCGGTTCTCTTCCTCCGACCCTCTAACCAGGTAGTGTGGTTCCCAGGCTTGGCTGTGCATTGGGGTCCTCAGAGGAGTTTGACAAACTGCCTTCTCCCATGTGAGTTGACCTGATTCCTCTGGCATTGGGTATGACCTGGGGTTGTTTTGGAAGCTAATCAGGTGATTGCAACGTGCACCAAAGTTTGAGAACACATGAATTAGGGTTAAAATCAAAATCATCCTGGATGCTTTTCTCCACGTAAAGATGCCTTCCATCCTTCCTCAGCTTATCAGGAGGCTTGTGAGAGTGAGAGAATGTTTGGGGGGAAGAGAAATGGAATGCATGTGTTTAGAGACACATTTAGATAAAAGTTGCATACTTGATTCTAATAAGGCTCACCCATCCCATTGAGAACAATGCACTAAACATTTTTTCAAAACCATTCCTAAGGTCCAATTAGCTCTATTAATATTCTCAGGAACCTTTACTTTACCAATAGTAAATGTACTGAATGATCATTTTCAAAACCTGATGAGAACAAATGAAAACTTACTGGTCTTCAAAAATTAGACAAATTTAGAGGAAAAAAGCATAACACCCACTTGTCTGAGCAAGGTTAATCTTCAAAACTACTTTTGAATTATATACTGTAACATCACTCTTCTGAACTCAAAAGAAGCTATGGAATGCGGCCAGAAAGGACTTGTTTTTTACTCCCGGATTTAGTGGCCAGACTGAAGAAAAAGACTCAGTGATTGTGAGTTGGGTGCCAAGGCTCAGGACTTTAGAGAGACACGGGCTCCAGTTTTGCTGAAACTCAATTTGATCTCAACTGTTGTTATGAGAGAAGAAACTTACATTATTATGATTGTGAACTGGCTGTTATAATTAAAGTAGAAGTTACTGAGAATTTAATTAGCCAAAAAGCTGATACAATATAAACAAAATTAAGTTTATAAATAAATTATGTCTTAGGACTGAAAAATAAAATCAGGAATGAGGATTTTAATATTTTCAGGTAGAATTTCCCAAACTGTGTTCTGGAAAGTCAACCCTCTCATCCTGGAGAGACACCAATAATGATCCTTGGACAGCGCCAATGGGATTCAGGAAGCTCTACATCCTAGTTTGGTTTTATTTTGCTCTTAAGTAAGCTTGAAAGTTTCATATTAGGGTGTTTTTAAAGTGCATCTCCAATTGTGGACTATGAACTCACAGAATTTAATGAATAGTTTTCATCATCATGACACTGTTATGTTTGCCTAAGCATAAACCTGTGACTATGTTTCCAAAACTTCACCTCCCTCATGATTTTCTGCTTTGATTTTGTTATATATGGATCGATATAATGTCTTGAATATGTATTTATATAACTATAAACATATGTAAGTAAATTTAATACATCTATAAAATTAAAACCTCAGTTAAACAAATTTAACCCTCAAAGAAATTATCTTGAAAAGTTGTTCCTTTAGACTGCTTTGATGCATTTTTCCTGGAAGGAGAGTGCATTTCAATATACAAATAGTGCAGGAAAAAAGAAAGTAGGATGGGGGAAACCTGACACAATCCAATGAACTGTAATTGCAGATACAGGCTGGTGCCAGTAGGGGACAAGCTGTCCCTTCTTCCAAGAGCAGCTTCCAGGGTAGTACACATGGTTTTAGGCCTGTATCTCATGAAGAAATACTTTATTCCAGAAACATTCAGTAAAACACACCTCTCCTTTCATTGTGTTCAACAATGTCTCAGGAACAGTAATGCCTCAAGTAAAGATAAACACTTTTGGGGGGATTTTTTAATTGTTAAGTGGGTTTCCCTTCTTCCATCCACTCTAAGATTAAAATGGAAGTGGAAATCAATATATAATTGACACCAGTGTTTTAACCTGAGCACTGAAAAGGACAATCAAATGAAAGTACATATGGGCAGGATAAGGGTTCTGTCCCCTATTTGTACTCACCACTGCAAGGTGAGTTTCAGATCAGACTGAGAAATAGTGCTGTCTACATATAATGTTGCACATGAACTGTACTTTTCCCTAAGGTGACCAGGAGACACCTGAAGGGGAAGGGGAATAGAAGAAAATATCACAGTAAGTTAAACCTATAAAAGTGTGTTTTTCCTTGGTTAAAATGTCAAACAATTAAGCATTACAATTGTTCTCATACTCTATGAACTGCTTCAGTGCAATACCATGTGCAGCTCTACGGTAAACCCATTACATGCTCTCACTTCCAATGATGAGAATTGAGGAAGGGGTCATAAAATGCTGCCCTTAACATACTACCTATAATCCAACTTGGCAAACACCTATGATTAATTCCCTTTATAACAATGTAAAACATTTAAAATAAGATTTTAGTGTTTTTTCCTTGAGAAATGAATCCTGCCAAGATTTCTATTTCTACTATTTATTTTCTACATTAAGACATACTGCCTTCTATAATATTGAAGCAAGAGCTTTTACTGAAGTACATAAAAGCCAATGATAAATGTTAGTTCAGGAGACAGTGTGACAAAATACATGTATCTGAGGCAGAGGTGTGTGTGTGCTGGGGCTGGCCTGCGGCTCACAAGTTAGGGACCAGAGGTCTCTCTGGGCCTCAGTTTCCTTACCTAGAGGATTAAAGAGTATTGTTTTAAGATTCTCTCACATCCAAAAACAGATCAAACACCTCTGAGAATTTAACTCTCCCTTCATGTTGAAATAAGACTATCATTACATTCCTCCAAAGAGAACCTCAGAGAATGCTTCCCATGATATTAAGATTTCTATTCCCTGAGCTACATGACACTTATCGGGACCCTGCCTCACTCAGATGCTCTCTCTGACTACCAGGCCTTTTGCTTCCTCCTTTTCCCAGCCAGGTTAACCCCGCTTCCCATCTACCTCCAGGACACCTCTGCCAGCAGCCACACGAAACAACTGTCCCTTTCTCTGCACTCACACACCTGAGTTACTACTTGTTACACGGTATCAACTGCTTCCAGGGCATCCCCCTCATAACAAGTGAGCTTCTCTAGTGAAGGCAGGACTTCCCCTTCTCTTCTACCTCCAATTGCTGAGCACAGAATCTGGGGCAAATTAGGAGTGCAACAAGTGTTTGACCAATTATCTAAAATCAATAGCAACTGGAAGGTAAATCCTACTACTGATACAAATTAGATTAGAATTTGCCTGCAGTGGTGTCACAGAGATGTGCACCAGACCTCTAGTGTAAAATAAAACTATGGCATAAAAAGAAAAAATTAATGTGAATGGTAAAATTCAGAAGCACATAAAAGCGTAAAATAATAAATATTGCCCTGGCATGCTTGGTTCTGTGGTCAGAGTGTTGGCCTTCATATCAAAAGGAAGTGGGTTTGATTCCTAGTCAAGGGCAAGTACCTGGGTTGTGGGTTCAGTCCCTACTCCTGGTCAGGGCGCGTTTGGGAGGCAGCCAGTTGATGTGTCTCTCTCACATTGATGTTTCTCTTTCTCTCCCCCTCTATCCTTCCACCCTGCTACTCTCTCTGAAAAACACTGAAAAAAATATCTTAAGGTTAGGATTAAAAATATACAAATAAAAAAATAACTCCACCCCACACAGGCAAAACATTACATTGGTAAAAGAATGAAATGCTATAAAAAAAAATGACAGGGCATAAGAGAAAAGGTGTATACCAAAACATACCAAAAACTTTCAGATTCCTAGGAATAGAGAAGCTTCTAAATGTATCCAGAGAAGAAAGGGTGGGGCAAATTACTAAAATTGGTAATACACAATGTATCATACAGGTTTAAGAGCAACACTGTAATGAGAAAATAGTAGAAATATCTTTACAACTGCAAAAATTAATTTCAACCTAGAATTCTCTGCTTTATTAAATAGGAGGCATTTTAGAGAGGCTAGATCTCTAAACAATTTCTGCCCATGTATCCTTTCCCAGGAAAAAGTGTGCCAGTGAAACAAGGGAGTATAAAAAGACAGAGGAAGACATACAACACAGGAAACAGATTTTCAAGCAGTGTACCACGCCACACACTGGTGTGCAGCCACTCCACCCAAAATCCTGCTGCCCCACCCGGAGACCTGCAGACCCTAAGACCTCCACCTCCAAGGGTGCCCGGCTCCCGCAGCAGTAAGTGCCACCTCCCCCCTCCCCAGCTACAGACCTCCATACCCACAGTTGCGCTTTTCCAGTGTGTGGGCCTCCTGAGCCCACGGATCCACAGGCCACTCTTGGTTGCCGCTGTGAGCCCCCACTGGGTATACACTTATACAAACAAGGAAACACTGCCCCGGCAGTAGAAATTCTAAATTCCCCCTTCCTGGATACCTGCCCACATACACCTTGGTCACGCGGCTTCAGCTCCAGGACCCCTCTGAGTGTGTGAGTGCGCCGCCCTGGCAAACAGACCACGGGTGCCTCAGTGAGCCACCACTGGGCGTGCACGAATCCAACCAAGGACACAAGGCCCTGGCAGTAGAAATATGGACTTCCGCCACTCCTGGTTGCCTGCCCACAGACACCTCAGTCATGTGGCTTCAGCGCAAGCACCTCTCTGAGTGCACCTATGTGAGCCGCCACTGGGTGCATGCGAATACAACCAAGGGCTCAAGAACCCAGCAGCAAAAACTGAGTCTTCCCACTCCACAGCTGTCAACCTCTGGACAGCACAGTCATGCTTGTCCAGAGTGAAGGCCTCCTAAGCCCAAGGCCGCAAAGGGGGATCTTGGGTGCCTCTGTGAGCCTCCACTGGGCGCACTCATATCCAAACAAGGGCACATAGCCCGGGCAGTAGAAATTCGGAGTTCCCCCACTCCTGGCTGCCTGCCCCCAGACACTTCGGTTGTGTGGCTTCAGCACCAGGGCCCCCCTGGGTGCGTGAGTGTGCTGCCCCAGCAAACAGCTCCTGGGTGCTTCTGTGAGCCGCCGCTGGGTGCAGGCGAACCCAACCAAGGGTACAAGGCTCAAGCAGCAAAAACTGAGTCTTCCCACTCCACAGCTGCCAACCTCTGGACACCACGATTGCACCTTTCCAGAGCGCAGGCCTCCTGAGCTCCAACACCCCAACAGACGGCTCCTGGGTGCCTCTGTGAGCCCCTGCTGGGCACGTGCGATTTCAACTAATGGCACAAGGCAGCAAAAATTGGGATATCCCCCTCCCCGGCTGCTGACCTCTGGACACTGCAGTTGCGCCTTTCCAGCACGCAGTCCTTCAGAACCTGCTGCCCCTATACGCGGCTCATGGGTGACTCCTTGAGCTCCGGATAGGTGTGTTCATATCCAAATAAGGGCGCACGGCCCTGGCTGTAGAAATTTGGACTTCCCCCTTCCCAGCTGCCTACCCACAGACATTGCAGTCGCATAGTTTCAGCACACAGGTACCCTGAGGCCATTGCCCCAGCAGGTGACTCCCGGGTGCCTCTGTGAGCTGCCACTAGGAGCACTCGTATCCAACCAAGGGCTCCAGCAGGCTGCCCTTGGGTGCTTCTCTGAGCCGCTGCAAGGCACAACTCCGGCTGTAAGCATTCAGTCCCCATGCTAGCACTGCTCCAGCACAAAGGCCCCCTGAGGCTACTGCCCCAGCAGATGGCTCCTGGGCAGCTCTGTAAGCAGCCATTGGGCATGCATATCTAACCAAGGGCACACATCCCCCAAAGCAGAAACTGGGACTTCTCCCTCCACGTGACCGGTGGCACACCACAATTGATCCATTCCAGTGTGTGGGCCCCATTACACAACCCTTTCAGATGGCTCCTGGGCCCCTGTGTGTTGCCCTGTGGGCATGTGCCTCTCTAATCATGGGTGCACGGCTCCCCCAGTAGGATCCATGACATCCCCCTCCTGGCTACCTACCTCTGAACAGCTTGGTGAGTTACTGAGGACTTGCCTCCATGGACAAAGTCATATTGTTTTAGCCACAGTCCTTGAGATTCCCACATCCCCAGCTGCTGGATCCTGAACTCCCTCGTGATTCAGAGAGGGAAATCACTTTGGTCAGAATACCACTGCCTAAACCACAGACTACGAGATATCCGCCCTCCACTGTCACGGGCTCTCGGCCCCTCTAGTGAGTTGCAGAATGATGTTAATCCAGCAAGAGTCACCCACACTGGCCAAAGTCACAGTACCTGATCCTCAGGCCATGAGACACCTTCCTCCCAGGCCATGGACTCTGGGAACCCATAGTGAGCACATACCAGTGAGACCTCAGACAGCCTTTTACACAAGAGCCAGATCCATGATCACATCCAAAACAGCTTGCACAATGAAGCCGGTGGTGAGTTACACTGTCAACCCATGACAAGACTTCATCCTCGAATAAGACACTAACATTCAAGATCCAACTACACCAAGAGAACCCAAATAGCTCAAGTAGGGAGCCCTGCTACATTACCAATGCCAGGAGACCTGAGGCATCACACCAGTATCACCACCCTCTAAAGAACCTGGGTAGCAAAGCAGTTGGATCTAGAACACAGAAACAAAACATTACAGCAAAACATGGGGAGACTGCCAAGACCGGTTTGGCTCAGTGGATAGAGCGTCGGCCTGCGGACTGAGAGGTCCCGGGTTCGATTCCGGTCAGGGGCATGTGCCTTGGTTGTGGGCACATCCCCAGTGGGAGGTGTGCAGGAGGCAGCCGGTCGATGTTTCTCTCTCATCGATGTTTCTGACTCTCTATCTCTCTCCCTTTCTCTCTGTAAAAAATCAATAAAAATATATTTAAAAAAAAAAAAAAAAAAACAAAACATGGGGAGACAAAAAAACAATCCACAAAGGAAAGAAAAATCACCAGAAAGGGAATTAAATGAAATAGAGGCAAGTAACATGCCACAGAAAGAATTCAGAGTAATGATTATAAGGATTCTCAAATGGCTGGATGACAAATACACACAACTCAATGAGAATTATAAGGAGCTGAATGAGAATTTCACCATCATGAAAAGGAACCAAGAGAAAATGAAGAATGACATAGCTGCAGTAAAGAACAGCTACTGGAAGACTTAAATAGTAGACTAGAAGAGGCTGAGGACCACATCAGCGAATTAGAAAACAAGGTAGGAAAAAATACGCACTCACAGCAGCAACTGGAAAGAAAACTTAAAAAGCAAGAGGAGAGCCTAAGGGAGCTTTGGGACAACACAAAACGAAACAACATCTGCATAATAGGGGTACCAGAAGGAGAGAAAGTGGAGCAAAGAATAGAAAACCTGTTTGAAAAAATGACAGAAAACTTCCCTGATATTGGCAAGAAAAAAAAACCATGCAAGTCCAAGAAGCACATAGAGTTCCAAACAAGATGAATCCAAAAAGACCAACACCAAGACACATCATAATTAAATTGACAAACATCAACAACAAAGTAAGAATTTTAAAGTCTGCCAGAGAGAGACAGAAAGTTACCTACAAGGGACCTCCCATTAAAATATCAACTGATTTCTCAATAGAAACACACCAGGCCAGAAGGGAATGGAATGAAATATACAAAGTGATGCAAAGCAAGGGACTAAATCCAAGAATACCATATCCAGCAAGGCTATCATTCAAAATTAAAGGTGGAATCAGGAGCTTCACAGACAAAAGTGGGCTAAGAGAATTTATTACGATCCAGCCAGCAATGCAAGAAATGCTAAAGGGACTACTGTAAAAAGAAGAAACAGAAAGGCAAGAAGAAACACAAACATTAAGAATAAATATGATGACAAACAAGTTCATATCAATAATAACATTAAACGTAAATGGGTTAAATGCTCCAATTAAAACATGCAATACCTGACTATATTTGGGCAGGCGCACAGACATTCAGAGTGAATGAATAAATATGATACCTACTTTTTTGTTAGATCAACAAAAAATATTTTTGATATGCCTAGGAATTGTAATCAGTGTATGTGTGCCATGAGACACAAAAGGTTGAAAATTGCTGATCTAAGAAATCAGGGATCCAACACAAAAGAACAGTATGTGAGATCCCAGATGACTTTAAAGAAATATGCCTAAAAGCAGGCACAGAGCAGGCCTTTGGAGAACAAGTCTATATTGGAGGAGGATAACAAAAGGCTTCCAAGAAGAAGTGGAACAAATGTGTTCAGTACATGGAAAATATTTTTGACAGGCCTCTGACAAATGTCACAGCATTTTTGGAAAAAAATAGCTGCTAGAAAAGAAGTGAATACACTAAAAAAAATTAATTCTGCACACAAAAAAATGAAAACTTACGAGGTATTATGTTAATGTAGCATAAATATAGAATTTTTGTCCCAATAGTCATCTTTCTCTATCAAGTTACTAGATTGTTAGGTATAAACAGTTATTTCTAAAATCAGAGAGACCAGCCTACTTGCTGCATTTGACTCCGTGAGATTATGTTGATGAGGAACAGGGGTTTGGATTATCCTGGAGAAGTGTCGCAGTGCTCAAATCTCAGTAATATTGGGGGTCCCAAAAAAAGTATACACATTTGAACAGCTGATAACTCACTTAAGTTTCACTCCTTTTCAGGTTTAACTGATTTGAAATAATGGGCGAAGCCAGACTAAGCTTTGAACAAAGAAAACTTATCCTAAAGTCCTACTAGATTTTTTTATGGCGAGACATAAAAGATAAAGTTTACAGCGCAAAACCGGCAACAGTCCACAAATTGAGGGCACACAAATACAGAATAAAATAATTAATTCTTGACATGTATAATTTTATTGCTTTGTTTTATCAACAGTGCCTGGACCAGACCAGTCATCAGTTTGAAAATAGGCACTGACAAGAAATATTATTCATTTCTGCAGATTCTTTCAAATTTTGAAACTGAACTGTATGTTAATAAACACTGGCATAATCATTCAAAGTGCATATACATTTGTTGAGCAAAAGAATGAAGGGTGTACAAGAAAGAGGCACAGCCAAAGAACTATATGGCTCAGCATTAAAAATATTTACAAAGTCATAATAATGTAAACATTGATTCTGATTTAATAAAAACCATGATATATGTTTTGAGGACAGAGGGAGGGGAAAAAGGCCACACTGGAGGAAGAAACATAAGCTTTCATTTGCCATGACAATAAGCTAAGATATAATCCTAAAAATTGACTTAGCTTGATATTGTTGATCATTTTGTTAAAAATCAAGATTAAAAGTTAAGGCAAAAATTAAGGCAGATATTTATACCACAACCATGTTATTGACATTTAACTTAAAGTTCAGAAGCCCTAAAAATGAACATTACTAAAGCCAAAAACTTTCCTAAATATGGAAGTTTGATCAGGAAGATAACAGAAGTGATTTAGAAAATCTACCATGCTAATGATATTGGTTCCATTATATATTGTTAAAAATCATGGCAGACAATTTTTAATTCAAATTACTAATTTCTTACTAACTTTTAAACCATTTACTTACATGGTAGGAATAGCTGTTCTTCCTCTTTTCTCGCACTAAGAATAAACAAAATTAACCAATCAGTACTGATACCAATGCCACAGAAAAACAGAAGTTACTGATTGCCTGAAAGATTACCAACATACAAAATAAGAACAAATTTTATTCCATTTCTTTTATAACTTCCAACCAAATTTATAATTTAAAGCACCTGGTAAGAGGAGTCCCCTAAGCAAAATCTTAAAACTGAGATTTGCCTTTTTGACCTAATGGATATTCTGTTTTAGTACAAATAAAAGTCTCTCATGTCCAGAAGGAAAGGGCAAAGATTAGGCCAGGGGAGAAACTTAGCTAATAAAAAAGCTTATCTGTTGTGCCTCTGAGCCAGTACTCAGTCGGAGTTTCCAATTCTACATGGATACCCTCTGTACTTGAACCACCAGGATCTAACAGTTGAGGGCTCTAAGAACCAGTTTCTGGCCAGGCACCTGCAAGCATCCTGAACCACTTAGGTAACCCCTAGAATATCTTACTAAGAAATTAAATGCATTTCTACTCAATTGTAAAGTAAACTATCCATTTTAAATTTTAAACTGAGTGCAGCTAACCTAACTAAACAAGTGTACAAAAACAAAATAGTTTTGCTCTAATAAAGATCTAAAGAAAAATAAAAGCTCCAAAGAGGGTCTTGGGCTGAACTCTGTTTCCCACTCTGCCTCCTTTAACGTGGGAGGGGCATCATAGGCACACATTCCTTAGGACTGAGGAGAGGGGCATGGAATAACACTTCCTTTACTCTCTCACTCTCTCTCTACAGGTGAGCAGCCCCTGGCTCTGGAAGAAACTGAGAAATGCAGCAATCCTAAGCAAAATGATCAGCTCCAGACAGTCATGCACACATGCCATGAAAACGCATGTTAAAACCCCCACTTTGTATTGAGCTGCATGGATTCAAATAAAATGGACCCTTCCCTGCTTGTACTTCTGCTGTCACAATCAACTGAGACTCGATCCTTGTGCCTTTTTAAGCAAGTAAACTCGATTGAACATAACGTTAAGGAAATAAGCAGGCAAGCAGAGCGTTAACATCCTACAGTTCTGGTTCTTATCCTAAACAAACAGGACACAGGAAATGGACATAGTTGCACTTGCTCCTGCTAAGCTTCTAGGGAACCCCATTGGGCTCTGTTCCTCTGATGTACTCTGGCAGCATTACATAGGGGAGAGAGTTTGAATAGCATCAAATTCTAATGTGAAATAGCATCCTTTGTTTGAGTACTACAAATTCAACCCTCATATATAAACAACTGATCCTTTTAATTATTCAAATAAAAACCTAACTGTCATTTAAATCCGATCTTGACTTACTGTCCACTTGAGATTTCTTCAGGAAAATTGTGCTCCCACTTGGATGGTCAGAAGGGATTAAACCTAAAGCCCAAATATAAAAATACATCATTTAAAAATAGCTACACACCAATTTATACTACTTATAACAGTGTTGGGAAGAGATTTTAAGTAACGGTAACAAGCCACTTTTAGTGAAGGCAATGTAGGAAATGGACCTCTGGGATCCTCCACATGGTTGGCTTTTGATGGGATTTACTGAATTTCCCAGGACAAACAGAAAGTAGAGAGGAGGGAAGAGGAACAAAGAACTGTGCACCTGGGCCAGCATCATGGTGGAAACCCCTGAGGCATCTGCTTCAGCTAGACAGGGTAGGTGCAGGAAGCTAGAAAGGCCTCAGCCCAATATTGTAAAACGCCCAATGGGAGACAGCAAGACCTAGGTGACCTATGAGGAAACAGGTGACCCCATAGTACTCAGCCAATGAGGAACTGGAGGAGGGATTAAATAAATAGCCTATGCTCCCCATATCAGGTGTGTCTACGACAAAGGACACCAACTCTGGAGGCCAAATTATTAAATATCTCATTTTCGCCATACTTTTGTCTCTGAGTCCATCATTTGAATTCGGACAGATGAGACATTTCTCACAGCAACAATATAAAAATTCTACTGGGAAAATTTAAAATTGTAGAATCTTTCTATGCATGTGGAATAAATAAAAGCTATGTCTAAGACTTTATTTTAACTTGCACCTAAGTAGTCTATGAATCGTGTACATGCTTCCCCACGTCGTCTACTTGTCAATTAAAAACACAGTCACATTTATGCTGATACTAGAGGCCCAGTGTATGAATTGGTGCACACTGAAAGGAAATTAATTAGAAGAAATATTTTAATATTGCTATTCTCCCTTTCTCTATAATAGAAGTGTCAACCAAATTCATGATCAACAATGACAGATTGAAACACACATGTGCAATTGGCACCAGAGAGAGCTTTATATGACTAGCACATGCATGAGTCAACTTAGCCTTTTATATATAGAATAAACTTGCTTAGTTAGACCTGCTTTCTGATTTAGCTAAACTTTTTCCAGCCCAGTGAAGCACCCCCACTTCTCTTTCAGGTAATTGTCAGCAACACAGCAGTAAATATCCACACAAAGCAGATTATTATTGTAGATCACACAGGGAGAACAAATGGTAAAATATTTAACTGCAGCAGTGTTTGACTATATTCTGGGCCATGAGAAAACCTGAAGGCATTTTCAAGGTCCACCATTTCTTATTTCTTTTCAGTCAGATCAAGTTTTTAAGCTTTCTAAATCTCCATTTTCTGGCTAATGAAAAGAAAATAGAATTCCCACTGAGTCTCCTATCTACCTTCTCCAGGACTTCTGTGAGGATCAAATGAGATGAGGCACGGGAAAATGCTTCACAGACATTTAGTTACAGTGTGAAGTGTTTCCACCTGGCTATAAAGCAAGTTGTGTTCCTGGGCTGAAGAAATTGCAAGGAGGCTAGTCATTGCTAGGGAGAGGAAGCCTGGCATTGCTACGTGATGTCATTATCCAGACGGAGGGAAAAACATTTAGCATATTAGCCTTTTATATATGTAGATTACCAGCACATTCCAGAAACAGTTTCAAGAAGCAACTTACACTGTGGCCAATTAGTGTCAGATACCAGCTAATATATCAAATATGCCAAATCACGTGAGCTGTTTTTGGCAAATGTTCTTTACTCATTAGGCTAATTCTAACTCCATTCAAAACATGAACTTATTTTCTTAGCTGTGGCTTGCTTAGGGCTCCATATCGTGGCACATTTAAAAGGACAGTATAATAGCTCAAGGCTCTAGTCTACAGGAACACTGTCATGACAGTGACTTTTTATACTTTCATCAAAGTGATTTTTAAATTCTGCCTTCAATTTCCAAAGTTAAAGTTCCACTTCTTCCTTCCAGGCCACACAATTAATTTGAAGGCTTCAATAAGAATACTTTCTGGACTTGATCATAGGGCTGCTTGTAAAAATGCAATTTGTTGTAACTATGTAAAGGTAGGTGTGCCTGCAGTCCACCTTGCACCAAGGTGGGATAATCTTCTATTTAGGAAAGTATGCCAAATAGATATCTAAATTTAAATAACACAAAGTTTGTCACTATGTGATATAATAAAGTGATTACTTTAAAAAAACAAACCCTATGATATTCTTTAGTAATGATCATCTGAGACCACTTAACCAATCTTTTAAGAAAGTGGATCAAGATCCTGAGAGAGTAATGGTTATGGCAATATTTCCCAAATCGCATAATAATGGTTCTATTTGTTAAAAGGGCATTTGGAAGTTACATATAAATAAATTATATCCCTGATTCTTAGAGATTAAAATGCCCATTGATATGTTAAGAACTAATCAGTCTAGTAATGAATAATGTCTAACACATCATTTCACAAATTTATACCTAGAACCCTCTTTCCCCTCCAAGTAATACAGTTAGCATCTTGCACAAACATAATTTGGGACATCCTGGTTTCACAGGCATCTGAGCCATCCATTTTGATACTAATGCCAACACTAGAAATTTAAATAACTGCACCAATTGCCTTGTTCTTCAAAAATGTTCCTTCACTGCATTTCAGTTTATTAAATTGCTTTTGTAGAAACTATGCTATTCAACATTTTAATGTAAAAAACAATAAAGTTATGATAAAGGTTTTTCCCCCATATTTGAAAAATAAGACAGTGTTAGCTACTTGGAGAAATAAATGAATTCTGTTGTGCACAAAGTGAGAGGCTGAGACTATCACAGCAGCCTCTAACCTTAGGCTTCTGACAGAATTCAAGACTACTTCCTACCAAAAAGAAAGTAAATATATTGCATTTGAATAAAAATATATAAGAGCAAATATTTGCAGAAGCAGCCATATTATTGTATCAATGCCTATGGTGTGATAAAGTTTAATTAAAATTTTCAATGGGAAGCCCATGAAAATATGTACTTGAAACAAAGAAGGCACACACACACACACACACACACACACACACACACACACACACGCATGCCCCAAAGAAATAGGTGTTGCTATAGCTCTAAATACAAAAATCAAGAATGCTGGAATAAAAGAAATGACAACATGCAGAAAAAATCAAAATTAGCTCAAGTAACAAACAAAGAAACAAACAGCTGAAACTTCCCCTTCCCTACACCTGGGTTCCAGGGTAGGCAGGTGCCTCAGGGCTGGCCAGCCAATCACAGCTGCCTGGGACCTCCCACGAACCGGAAGAGAAAGGCAGAGCTGAACTCCAGGGTCCTTAGAGAGTCTGGAGCTGCGGACTCCCCTTTGCCAGCACGAGGAGGAAGCCTTTTCAGGAGAAATCAACAGGAGAGCAGAACCGAGACAAGTGCTGAGAAGATCCTTTCATTCCTGAATCAAGGAGTACCTTGATTTTCACTCTGTGAACTCTGGTTATAAAGTCAGTACTTTTCTTCAAAAGATTTAAATCTATTTTAAGTCAGTACTTTTCTTTAAAAGATTTAAATCTATTTTAATATAGGTTTTTTTTCAACTTGCAGCATATTTGCTGTTTAATGGATACATAATCGCCTATAAAGTGTTGGCTATACTTCACATAGCCAACCTCTGCTGGGGGTTAAGTACTTACATAGTTCTAAAAATTCATCACATATATAGAGTGTTATAACAACCTCTTAAATCTCCTTAGAAAGGCTCTTTAAAATAAAATGACTAGACCAAAAGGTTAGATTGTTTTTATGGCTTAATTTATAAAACTAAGTGGCTTTCTAAAACAGCTGAGGGCATATTAGTGGATAATGCCACCAAGCATATCAGTTTTAGCTTCTACCCAGCTTCGAATACTTACTAAAAATCATGGCTATGTGAGTCAGGAACCTCACCAAATCGAATTAGCATTTCCTTGAGTGCACAGTGTGACCACAGTGATATTTCCACATCAGTGAGTTGCCCGTCATTTGCATGTATTGTGCCCACTAGGGCCCTAAGGTTGTCAATTTGTATGATGCTTCCATAAAATATTTTCTGTTTATGGCCTAAAATAATTTTATATATAACTTGTACTCTTTACTAAATACTGCAAAATAGTTTTTTTATAGAATGATTTTAAGCAGCATTTTTCAGAAAGACAATGATTTCCATTTATACTAATAAAATAGAAATGGCAGCATTTCTGCTGGGCACCTTACTTAAGGCCTCCTGCATTTACTGAACTGCTCTATTCCCTACACCAGTGGTCGGCAAACTCATTAGTCAACAGAGCCAAATATCAACAGTACAACGATTGAAATTTCTTTTGAGAGCCAAATTTTTTAAACTTAAACTATATAGGTAGTTACATTGTTATTAACTTAATTAGGGTACTCCTAAGCTGGCCTTTGCTAAAAACGTCCTCAATCTGAGGGGTCGACCTCAGCGAACGTACCCCCACTTCTTCTAATGCCATTTCTTCAAAATAGACTCGCCCAGGCCGAAAACCGACTTCTGCGCATGGGCCACGAAGTTTCACGTGGTATTTTGTGGAAGAGCCACACTCAAGGGGCCAAAGAGCCGCATGTGGCTCGCGAGCCGCAGTTTGCCAACCACTGCCCTACACTATGCATTGTATTTACTATACATTGTATTATGCTGTGGCCCATAACACAAAGTTAGGAGTCCACCTATTACAATATACACTGATTTTATCTCTCTGAGTCCACACTTCCCACCCTGTCGGGTGACTCCTACCCAAGGCGTTGAGCTGGCTGCCTCACCAAAGGGCACACAGTGGGTCCTGCGTCCCCCACTTTACTTAAGCAGTCCCTTACTGGAAGTAAGTTATTGTCCTTTTGAAAATAATGCAACATAAACTTTGTGAATATGTGGTTTTATTTTGTGGTGTAAGTCTTCAGCATAAATTCCGCAAAGTAGGATTTCAGGATTAATGCCATCTGCATTGCTGTGCGATTTATGCCAGCATCCCTTCAGGGGGTGGAGCCATTTTGTATTTCCATCAGCAAAATATGAAGGGAACTGTTTCTTTGCAGCCTTACCAAAACCTTA